TGACCTTAAGGCCCCATTTCAGGGAACTGGGAAACACGAACTGTGTGCAGTGGGACAGTGACAGAGTTACTGTATATCCAGAAAGGACTTCCTCATCTGAGGCGTCTCCGTCACGGCAGTTTGTGTGCTTGGTGCTGGGTGATCACAGGATCAAAGTTGAAGAGGTGTCTGTCACACCTGATGTTATCAGGAGGTCATCCGATAATCTGAGACTCAGGCGAGGTTATTTAGCAGTGAACACCTTAATCATGTGGGTGCAGCTTGTGGCCTCTCTAGAATTGAGAGTGCCAGCTGTGGAAGGGAAGCAGAAGTCACTGCCAAGAACATTCCCGAAGGAGCCACACCAGGTGGTGTGGGCATGTGTTAGGCTGGTGGCTACTGACACACAGCCCTGTGGCCACGCGCCCTTCGCCCAGTGCTGGCTTCTCTCAGCCCCGCCTGTCACCCTCACTTTTCTTACCAGCATTTTCAAGTCATGTTTTGTCGTGTGTGTTTTTGTCTAGAAGTGATCGTTTTATCCAGGGGGTTATTTCAACACGCCGCTCCGGCGTTGCCAGTTCCTCACAAGGATGATCTTAACGTTTCTTCTGCTATGTTTAGTATGAATGAGGCCGAGTGCCTGTCATGTGCCCTGGACATGTTTGTCCCCTTCTGCCTGCGATGGACTTTGGAGAAGATGTTGGGACCACTTAGAACTTTGAAGTTATAGGGGGGGGGGGGGGGGGGGGGGGGGGAGCGGAGATACGAAGCCTGGAGGCAAGCTGGGGCACTTGAGGAGGGAAAATGAGGGCGGAGAAAGGTGGCAAAAGGTGGTAAGATCAGCGAACTGGCACCAGGCCACGGGTGTTGGGAGTAAAGGAGACCGAGACCTAGGTGATGGACGACTTGAGCTGCACATGTGGGGCTGGGAGAAGGAATGGATAGCTCAGAGCCGGGCCCTTCCTCAGATGAGGACAGGAGGTTAGTCCAGGGGGCGTGCACCCCGAGAACACAAAGGGCAGAGGTGAGAAGCCGTGCAGGCTGGAGATGTTCCACCTTCCTGCCGTGGCTGGTGGAGGAAACGGAGTCTGTCCAGATAGGAGCGAGCCAGGCCTCTTCCGGGCCACACCCCTTGCTCACTCACCTGCCCTGAGATGCAGGACACGGGCAAGCAAGGCACAGTAGGTATGATGCCCAGGCAGAGAGTTTTACTGGGGGCTGGTCCAGGGGAGCCCGAAAGGGCCTGGACCACTGACCCCAGGCCACATTCCCAGCCTCCTACACGCGTCTGAAACACCAAGTGCACAGACAGAGTTGTGTCATGCTGGGGGCGGACCTTAGGCACCTGTGTTTGGAGGTAGGCCTGTTAAAGAGATGACTAGGGCTGGTCCAAGTTCAGTGTGAGTGTGTCCTTCTAAGAAAGGGCATGTGCATAAGGGCGACTCAGTCTACACCAGGAGAGAGGTGTCAGGGCTAGTCTATTGTCCATGCTCTAGGATTCTGGCCTCTGGGACTACAAGACACAATGTTGTTCAGAGCCCTGCCCGTTGGACTGCCATGGCAACCCGGGCAGTGAATACAGCCAACACAGAATCAGAACGACAGCCCCAGAACCTCCATAAGCTTTTCCTTTCTGTAGGATCCCATTTCAGGGAGGTGAGATCTGGGGGCCACTCACTGCACACACCTGCAGCTGGGTGAACAGTCAGTCACGCCTGACTACCATCACATTTGGCCTGGCGTACTCAGTGGCTGCAGAGCCTCTGGACCACCTTCCTCTGCCCGGGAGGCTCGCCCACACTGCTAGAGCCTACAACTACCTAGCCCTCTACATCAGGCAGCTCCGCAGCCCTTGAACCCCAACTGTAGCCACAGATCACCCTACCATTTATGCCACAGCTGTCCCTAGGCGGGAGGGAAAGAGGGGAGGGACAAGATGGCTTTCACAGGTGGTGGACTGAGCCAAGCCATACTCAACAGCAGTGACGGGCGCGCTACTGTCATCAGAGGTCCTGGGACAGCCAATGCTGTGGCTGGCCAGGTGTGCGGCAGATCCTGGTGCCAGTGTCCTCAGCCTGAGGTGTTCTGACCTGCAGTGGCCCCTGATTGCTCACGGCCGTCCCAAGCCCACCATGCACAGGTGGCCACCTTCATTCTGTCCTTCAAGTGAGAACACTAAAGCAGAAGAGGGGACAGGACAGAACCTGACGGGGTAGAACGTGACAGTGACTAACAGGCCTTTTCACAGCATGTACTAGGAGCTAAGCAGTGTCGGTGGGGAGAAGCACAGGCCTGCTCCATGGGGGTGTACACTAACTGTGGAGAACAGAGAAACACGGGCACCGAAGCCCCACACAGGATGGAGACAACTGCTTCTCGCTTGCAGATTATTAAGACTGTTGCCCTAAACTGGGCAGTGGTGGCGCACGCCTTTAATCCCAGCACTCGGGAGGCGGAGGCATGTGAATTTCTGTGAGTTTGAGGCCAGCCTGGTCTACAAAGCAAGTTCCAGGAGGATAGTCAAGACTACACAGAGAAACTCTGTCTCGAAAAACCAAAAAACAAACCCCAACAGCAACAACAATCCCCACCCCCAAACAAGCAAACAAAACTGCTGGCCTAAAGTCAGGGGGTCAGTCATGAAGGTGATGCTGGCGGTGGTACCAGAGGTGGTGGACATGACGACGGCAGTCACGGGAGTCACGGGGAGAGGTGGTGGTAGTGATGGTGGTGACGGTGATGGTGATGATGTAAGGAGGTAGTGATGGTGTTGGATGGTGGCGAAGATGATAGCGAGGGAAACGGTGATAGAAGTACCGTGACAGGTGGAGGCGGAGCCAGAGGTGAAGGGGGTGGGGCTGAGGAGACAGGTGGAGGCGGAGCCAGAGGTGAAGGGG